ACCATGATTGATGCGATACACGACCTTAATTCGAAAGAGGCAGCACCGACGCTCGCCACTGCAAAATGCCCTAAAATTACACATGATTTTTTCAAGGACCTTTCTCATCCCACGTACCAGATCTGGAGAGTGAAGCCCACCACAAGAGAATAGAGGAATTTTTGGAGCCAGTGCATAAGAAGCTGACAAGGGGACAATGAGAACTCTTGGAGGCGCCTCTCTCCCAACAGGAAGTCTGGGCAGCACTTCTGCAAATGGAAAAAGAAAAAATATCGGGAATCGATGGGCTCCACAAGGAGTTTTGAGAAGCTACATGGGACTATATGAGCCACGATGTCATGAACTTCTACGAGAAGATGTGGCGCACGGGGGAAATGGGGGAGATGGTGAGTCAGGGAGTGTTAACTACGTTTTTTTCAAAACAAACATTTCTTATTTTTTTAACAAAATTGAAACTCCATTTTTTTTGCACTTTTCTATTTTTTTAGCAAGTAAACTAACACATTAGGTGCGATACCCGTTTCACATTTTCCGCATAACATGATGAAACTACCTAAACATGGAAGCAAGATTATGCAAAATGGTGAGTTAATTATTTTTGGATTGCGTCAAGTTCAATTATTAAGATTTTATGGATTTATTATGTGTTTCAACTAATTATTATAATTTTGAGAAAATTACTGTCATATGACAACAAAAAAAGTACCATAATTCGATTTTTATCTTCATTCCTTCCAAGTTTATAAATTGTTTTATCAAGTGAGCAACACTTTGTCCGTAATATTACATATAGAATGCAAAAAAAAAAAAAAAATCTTGCTATTTTTTGAAATTTCTGTACTCAAACATGCAAAAGACACTTCGATACACTCGCATACAACTTTTTTTCGGTCATTCAATTGATAGCCACATTATGAATTATTTAAATATATGCCAAAACCTTTATAATTTAGAATGCCATCGTCGATTATTATATTAACTTTAACTTGTCTGTCGCAAATGGTCACTCTCCTTTAGCTAGTCTACTTATCATTGTCAATTTCCACATATCCTCTCGGCTGCATTCACCATAAGAATCCATAGTGTTGAGTCTTGTGAGTCGTCTATTCTCCCATTCGACAGAGGTAGGGGGGAGGGTCCATCGTTTCACAAACACGGGATCCCCCTTCAACTTCGTGCCCGTAGGGGGTCCAGTGTTTGTGAAACTTTGGACCCCCTCCCCCAGATAAGGGAGAGGCTCCAGCGTTTCACAAACGCCGGACCCCATGGGGCCACAAACTTGAGTGGGGGTCCGGCGTTCATGAAACGCTGGACCCTCTCCCCCTTTGGCATAGACAGGGGAGAGGGTCCAGCGTTTCACAAACGCCAGACCCCATTGGGGCACGAACTTGAGTGGGGGTCCGGCGTTCGTGAAACGCTGGACCCTCTCCCCCTTTGGCATTGATAAGGCAGAGGGTCCAACGTTTCACAAACATCGGACGTTATGGGGGCACGAACTTGAGCGGGGGTCCGGAGTTCGTGAAACGCTGGACCCTTTTCCCTATCTGTGACGAAAGGGGAGAGGATCCAACGTTTCGCGAACGCCGGACCCCCCCTAAAGTGCGTGCACCAATGGGGTCGGGCGTTTGTCATAAGCTAGACCGAAACCCTATTCGGCAGAGATAGGGGAGAGGGTCCAACGTTTCACAAACGTCGGACCCCTTGCGGCCTGACCAAAAGAGAGGGTCCAATGTTCCACGAACGGTTGACCCTTTGTGCTACGTTCACCGGAAAGGGTCCAGCGTTCGTGAAACGCCAGACACTTAACATGTCGCGTGTTCGAAGAGGGTCCAGTGTTTGTGCAATATCGGGGCCTCCGTGGTCCAAAAACAGTATAGGCTAATTTGTGAAACGTTAGACCCTTTGTGGTTCTATGACTGGAGATGGTTCGTTGTTCAGTGAAAGCTAGACCCTCCTTGGAGCGACCGTTGGAGAGGGTTTGTCGTTTCAAAAAGTTTGTGACATGGTGATGACAATTGTCTGTTTTTTTGGTCAGTCATTGTGTATGTATGACCATCGAGGAAAGAACCAGAGGAGTTCAGGAAATGGGGAGAAAGGGGTCAACAACAGGTCCAAACTGGTGGCATCGAGAAGTACGAGGACGATAAAGCGACAACAGAGAAGGGCAAGGTTGACGACAGAGAGTTAAGGAAATTTTATCTCACTTCGGTTTACGATGAGGAGGGCACCGACTGGGTCGGTGCTGATAAGAAAGTCAACCTGACCTCGCCCTATTCAAGGGATACGGTCAGAAGGCGTTCGCTATGAAACCCTTTGATTTGAAAGGGGATGGAAGTGACATTCGGATGGTTCATCCTGTTCATTTTCTTAACAAGACCAACAACTATAGAAAAAGTGGTGAATATCCGAAGGTCGACGTCGTCCATCAGTTCAAAGGACCACTTGTCCGGGTTGTCTCGTACGACACTCTCGTCTAGGGTGTCTCTGACGCTTTGATGTCTTGTGTAGAACGATGCCAAGTAGTTTCAACTCCTTAGCAACCTTCAAAAGTTACTGCAAAGGTGATCATATACTCCCAGCGGTCGGGGCGATGTTCTTCGGAAAAGGCTGCGAAGAGGAAGTTGCTTGCCATACCTCCGTCGCGACTCGAAATACCTGATGTGATTGTTGGCACTTCATGCTCGCGGCAGACAAATCTTCATGCCCTCGACCAACGGTCTGACGAGCGAACGGAGGAAGATGTTGGGTTCTATGAACTACACGTAGGGTCCTTTGAGGACTCGCGACATGGGGGCGGTGGAGGAGAGAGCGAAGGGAATGTGGAACCTGCGGCACGGTACGGTTACCAGTGTTGTCACGCGGGGATTCCCGGGGCCCAAGCCGGTGTCGGGCAGCTGCCTACCAACCCAATACCCATTTTTTGAAAAACATTAACTTCTCAAACATGTTTTTTTTATGTTTTGCATGATTTTGGAGTGTGCATGTATGTGAGCGAGGGGTTCGAGGGAGATCTTGGGGCCCATGGCCTTCGTACTAACCTGGGGACAGGCAAGGAAGACGGGTCGAGGATGTGCGAGAGCGGGGCAGGACGTGGACGAAAAAATCAGGAGATTTTATGCAGCATCTGGGGAAGAGGAGAAGAGCAACTGACGTCGAGACAAAGGGGGAGGGTCCAAAGAGGAGGGGGTTTGAGAAGGGGCAAAAACTAAAAAAAAAGAAAAGAGAACATTCTATTCTACAACCCTATGTGTGTGTGTGTGTGTGTGTGTGTGTGTGTGTGTGTGTGTGTGTGTGTGTGTTGTGTGCGTGTATGTGTGTGTGTGTGTGATTGGGTGGGGGTGGGGGGGGCGACCCATCCCCCACCAATCAATCGGTCCATCAATGAATCAAAAAAAAAATAAAAAAAATCGATGTGTTTTGAGTCTGGTTAGGTTTTTGATTTTTTAAAAATAATTGAAGTGCTAAAAAAATCAAAATAAAAATATGGGGATGTAGAGCGCAACAAAATGTACACCCCCATTTTATTATTATTTTTTTAAATTATTTGCCTGCGAAAAAAAATTTCGCGGGCACGTTGTACCGCATTCTAACGCGGTGTAGCACGACGTTGTAACGGGGTTTCAACGACCGTTGAACCTTTCAACGGAAACCCCCATTGAATCGATTTTGGGACACGCAGACAGCATGTGGCCTTCACTTAGGGCGTCTGCACACGCTGCCTGCTACGGTGTTCTTGCACGCTGTCCACAATAGCGTGGTCAAGCGGTAATCGCTTGATCACTGGTGCCAACAGTGATTTCAAAAAAAAAAACATAAATCAAATTCAAAAACGTCTAGAACTGCATGTGAGAAAGCGGTAGTTTTCACTTAAGGCCTTCCCACACGCTGCTCATTGCTGGGTGATCAAGCGGTAATCGCTTGATCACAACCTCTAGCAACAACTCTAGAAAATAAATAAAGCAATTACTCCAAGTTCCCTGAGATAGTGTGCGGGAGTATGTATGGATGGCTGCCTAGAGCTCTATTACAACACAATGACCATATTCGAACTGAATAAATATTAATCCATAAGAACTAATTTCAACGCTGATACCAGTGCAAGGATTACTTAGTAATCTGTCACTGTCCGGTCACAGACCAAAATTGATAAATCAATTTCATTGGTTTTACTCACTCCTTGAATACCTTCCTGCTCAGACCAGATAACTCGCTTGTGTGCAACACAAATCTGTACTCGAGGCTCTGCCAAGGAAGCTAACGACTAATTAGTATTTGACGTCGTCCTCAAAAACTCGATCAAAGGGAACTCATGGAGGCAAACTAAATACGCAATTAGCATGCCACTATCTCTCCCCTTCTCCCACTATACCGTTGCTCGTGGAGCAGTGTATACTCCCGTACGTATACGGGCCGTACGTACTCCCGTACAACCGTACGTACGGGGCCCGGGCCCCAATACGGGCCGTACGTATGGACTTCCGGCCATTCGTACGCAGTCTTGGAGGGGGGGTTTGGGAATGTTTTTTGGGTGGGTGGGTGTCGGGTGTCGGGGAGAGTCGATCTGTAATTTTATTTTTTTTTAACCAATTTTTTTTTTTATTAGGGTGGGGGGAGTGGGGGTTAAATAATTATTTTGGGGGGGGTGGAGGGGGGGGTTCATCATTAGGGGGCGTGAGTGGAGGTATTTGAGCCGTAAAAAAAAAATAAAAAAAAATGGGGCTGGGGAGGGGCTCGTTTGCGGAATTTTTTTTGAGGTGTCGTTGATCGCAATGCCAAGGTCGTTTTTTGGGGTTGAGAAGGGTTTGGCGAGGGGAAGGTTTGGATGGGGTGGGGGGGGTATGGGGGGGGGTCCGGTCTTGGGCTATGCAAAAGTCGTCTTTCGGGGTTGGGGAGGGTTGTCTGGGGGTTGCTTACAACTGCATGAGAGGCGAATGAAACACACGACGAAACAAGTTGAAGACAGCATCAAGTTCATATTTCAAACAAAGACAATTTTGAAAAGCATCGAGTAACATTCATTGCAGAAATTTCGAAACTGAAACATGACTGGCCAACGAAAACAAGGCGAAATAGATGCACCATAAACACACCACAATAAAAGAAACACGGAGAGTGAACTCAGTCAAACGATGTATGAAGAAAGTGTGTAATCGTCTAAGACATCAATAGAAAAATAAAAGGGAAAAAAAACAAAAACTGCACCTACTGCACCTATGTTTGAAGAAAGTGTGCAATTGTTTGAAACATGAATAGAAAGTGTGCAATTGTCAGAAACATCAATAGAAAAAAAACAACGAAAACAAACAAAAACTGCACCTACTACACTTACTGCACCTACTGCACCTATCTATGAAGACGATGTGCAATCTCATGAAACATCGATGCGAATACGCATCCAGACATGACGAGCTGCACATACTGCACCTATAAACATATGACCTCATCTGAAATATTGAAGGTACTATACACTACTAGGAAATAGAGGACAGGAGAGATTAAGCATCATCGTCATCCACAATGTCCTTCCTCCTCCTCCGCGGCGCCACACTAGTGGTACCATCCCCGCCACTTGTGCCACCTACCGGCCCGTTCCCCGTGTTCGGAGCACGAGTCCCTCCCTGTGCTGCCGCCTCGACCCCGCCCCGTGCTCGAAGAATGTCCTATACAGAAACCCTCTTCCGCTGGCCAATAGGCATCTCCAAATCGTCGGAACCTGACTCCCAACCGACGGGTGTTTGTGACGATCGCTGCGTCGTCAGTGCCCTCACATCCACCCCCAATATACGTCCGGCCATGCTCCTTCCGGGGGCGTGACTGTGCTCGTCGAGCTCCTTCGTAGTGGTAGTGGAAGTCCGCCCTCTAGGACGTGGCACCGCCGCCTCAGCAGGTGCGCTCATCGGCTGCTCCGTCCCCCGGGTAGAGGCCCTCTCCCTCCAACCTACTTCATACGCGACAACGTTCCTGCCCAATGCCTCCAGGGTCCGTGGATGTAAACCGGCCAACCCAGGCTGACTCACCCTCATCTGGTGGGTCACGCTCCTGACAGTACTAAGACGACCCTTTCCTGCTCTCATCTTCTTCTTCCGTGACTTGGGAGAAGGAGACTCCCCTGCAGGTGCCGATGCGGGACTCGGTGTCGGGCCTGGACCCTCGGGATGTGTGGTCAGAATGACATCTGTGGTAGACGATGGTATTGACGGGCTGCACGACACATAAGCTGGGCCCTCTGCCATGACCCTCCTGGACGCCTCATCCATCCGTCCCCGTCGATCTGCCCACAATGGGTCCTCACGTGCTTGCCGCTCAAACTCCTCCGCCGACAAAGCTCCAGCGAATGGCAATACACAAACACCATGAACAAGTGATGCAGGTCTCTCGCCTGCGTCCCCACCGACTGCACCGCCACACTCAACCTCTGCATCCTCCGCCATACAATGGCCTGCACCATCACTTGTCTCGAGCATCCGCTCTGCACGTGCCCTCGCCGAAATACTCTGTGTCATCTCACAACGCCTGGCCAACTCCAGCACCCTTTCCCTCTTCTCGCGGTCGGTCCTTTCCTGCTCCGACTCTGTCACTCGTTCCTGCACAGGTCCACAACCCCCAACATCCCCTACTACATGCTCATGCTGCCCCAACGAACACTGTGTCTCCTCCGCTACCTCCCACAACATGCTGCTACTGATGTCACCCACGCTGCATGCAGGCAAACCTCTAAGGATCTGACTGATGGGCATAGCTTGTGCGTCCACACCACCACTACCACGCTCGCCTGTCGGCGTCGGAGGAAGCCCCAACAAAGCACCAAACATGTCGTCGCTGAATATGGCACCGAACTGTGTAGATGCCCTCCCAACCTCTGCAGCCACGCCATCAATCTCTACAGACCCGACTGCAGTTTTTGCCGACTTTGCAACAGCCTCTGCATACGAGGCAGCAACCTCTGCAGAACCAGCTGCAACCTCTGCCGACGCGGCAACAACCTTTGCAGACCCGACTGCAACCTCAACAAACTGACCAGGGGAGGCTGCGACCTCTGCCGACGCGGCAACAACCAGTGCTGTCGCGGCACCCTCATTTGCCCAGTGTACAGTGCGAGTGGACGATGCAGACTCTCACCTCTCCTTTCCTCCAGCAGCACCACCTGCACCACTTGTGTGCCATGCACCCCCAACACCCGGCCTGCTGCCTCCCCTACCTGCACCACTGCATCGGTCACCACAATGTCTCTTGGACCTCCCTAAACCACCTGCAGGCTATGTACCGTCGCCGCCGCCATCGTCATCATCACCACGTCGGCGTGTCGGGGAATAGTTGGGATCATCATCGTCCTCACTGCTCCCCTCGTACCCCCTCCCGACACCGTCGTCGTCGTCGTCTCCCTCCTCAGCATCTCCCCGACTTCCCTGCTCGTCATGTCCACGACAATCTGTCAGAGGGTGTGGAATCATGCCCTCAACCCGATCCTCTAGGCCTTGCAGTGGAACGTCACGAGCACTCGAACGTCGAGGTGGAGGGGGAGGCTGCACAGTGCCTGTACTAAAAGCACACGTCTGAGGACGCATCATCTCGGTGAGAGGAGCGTTGTCCCGGTCCTCATTAGAACCTCCTGGCTCTGAGTCCACCGCCAGGTCATCCGGATCAGACCACGGCTCCGCCTCCATCTGTCCTGAGCCATAGGATCAGGCTCGGGATCGCAGACCGAGTCCAACTCACTGAACTCAGTCGGCATGAGCACCGTGGCGCGACAACTGAAATACGTCTCCACGCTGGGCGGTGCCCTCGAGAGGCGATCCCTCTGCCCGAGTTGCACCTGCCGCTCACGCTGCGCCTCTGTGACTCGGTCAGCTGGCCGAACACCCTCATCACGAGGCGGAGGAATAACATCCTCTGTCTCCTCATCGTCCTCCCATGGCGGAACATACTCCGAATCCCTTCCCTGACAAGTTGACAACGACTAAATCTCAAGTTGGTGGATATCTCCACCAATCGAGTAAGCTTGATGAAACCAAGCTTGTTACGCCTCTTCACCTGAACACACTTATGAACGACTGAGTTCCTCTCCACGGGAGAGCCACACGTCCATGTGTGCGTCCGACGAATGGCGTAACTCTGAAGGAGAGGGACCCCGTCCCCGTGCTGCACCCACCACTGCCCGACCAGCGACGTCTCCTTCTCCCCTCTGCAGGAGGCCGCGTCCTTGTCACCCTCAACCCCTTCGTACGTCCAATCGCCCTCCCGACTATGGAACTCCGCCAGCTGCGTGCACAACGTCTGATACAAATTCTTGTCATCGCTAGTCTGCTGGCGAAGGTATCGCAGTGTCTCCTCAGCCAGTGTCTTGTCGTGCTCGCTCCGCCTCGCCGCTCCGAAAAAGGTGATGCTCATGTGGCGCGGGTTGAGGAGGTGGGCCATGCAATGTGCCAACTCCAACATATGATCCACCCGCGCCTGACAAGCCTGAACGACGATGTGGAGCTCCTCCTTCGACGTCCTGTTCAGTCTCGCTCTTGCCACCCTGTCAACCATGGTAAGGGCCCACGACGACATGCGAGTCATGACACCCCCCCCTCAGTCCAAACGGCGTAGCAACTGCATCACAGGCGTCATCAGCTCCACGATGTCCTCCACGTGCTCCCAAAATGGCGTGTACCGCACCTGATGACGCACCCACTTAGCCTGCAAGAAAATGGACCTCCTCCATGCAGTCTGAAACCAATCGTCGCTCATCATCAACGCCTCAAGCGCTCTACGACGATCAAACAACCTCTCCAACATCAAATAGTGTGTGCCAAACCTCGTCTGCGCAGGGTACACAAACTCTCTGCCTCGTCGTTGAGTCAAGGGTGGTGCAGCGCTGGAACTCGCTGCAACTGCGGAGGCAGAAGACGGGTCGGCAGCAGAGTACCGTCGATAAAGGCTGAGAGCCGCCTCGTGCTCTCTAATAAAAACCTTGGCCACACAATTTGCACTCCATGAGGAAATTCCGAAATTCCCATTAAAGCTCGACAGCGTTTGCCCTTTCGTGATTCATTTGAACCCGCAAAACTTCAACTCTGCCGCCCTCTGTTTGTCCTTACTAACAGGGACAAACGGTTGGTCTCCCCTTCCTTTCCTGGGCCCCATTGCAAACAAAGCACAAAGCCAGAAAAAGGCAATAGTGCCCCGCAGCGGTACGGACCGCTCCACCCCCCTACCGCCCC